AAATCATAGGTAATCCTACGGATCTACCAGACTAGCATAACAAGACAGGCATGTATAACCATATCATACTCAACATATCAACAATATCAGGTTATCAAACCAACAAGTCGGCCTTGGTGCCTTCGACCCGAAAGTATAGTGAGGATGACTCACCTCACAAGTAGCTAAATTGATAAGATCTATCTTAGAATCTCAGATCCCGATTCAAAGCCTACAACCATCATGACCAACCCATCAAAATATCAAAATACCCAAAATGCCCTTAAAAGTCCAACTTAGTCAACCATGGTTAAAGTTAAAGTCAGCGGTCATGGTCAATAGTCTATGTTGACCTAACTCATCGAGTGAACCTCTTGAACTCATCGAGTTCTACAGGTCTCAAAAGTCGGGTTAAACCCTAGCCAACTCGTCGAGTTTTCCCCAGCTTATCACATACAGTTGATTCTTCGATTCCATGGACTCTAAGGCTCAGATCTAAACTCCAAATGTGTCTAAAAGGATAATGTTTCCAAATTTATCCTTTAGGACTACCTCAAATGCTCATAAACCCTTCCACAAGACTTGAAAACTAAAAGGCTTAACCATTAAACACAAAGTCGATACTAGGGTTTGGAGGCTGATAAAAGATTAGCCTTAAGGACTTAAGGCGATTATATACGGTGCAAACCCTAAAATTTAGGGTATCTCAACCAGCCGCCAACTCATCGAGTTTTCCTCACCAACTCGTCGAGTTGGTCCAAAAAGATGTGCGACCCAAAAGCTTTCAACACGTCGAGTTGAGGCCATCAACTCGACGAGTTCCAAGGAAGACTAGCCTTTTAATGAATAAATCGCATACCTAGAAATTGGGATGTTACTGATGGGCCTTATACAAACAATCCTATGTGTGCATGCAACCCTAGTATTGGATCTATGTTTTCACTATTAGTTATACAACTTTATGAACACAAAAAGAAACCTGGCATGCTACTATAATTTTCGAAATTCATATATAAAGCTAGAATACATACCTTTTGTTGTTATATAGCAATAACAACTAGTTCCTTGAATTTCCTTAGCTCTTGAAAGCAAGTACCACAAGTGTAGTACCTCTAATGGAGTCACAAACACCATATGCAACTTGGATGAAGAGGAGAAGTAAGGAGGCTGCCCAAAAACGACTAGAAACCCTAGAGAATCAGTTGTCCACGTTTTTGGGGCCTAAGGGGTCCTTTATATACTTGTGTGGGCTGCTAGGGTTTCAGTCAAAACCCTAATGGACAGCTTAAACTCTAAGCAGCCCATGGAACCTTCTGGACAAGGCTATGGACAAAAATATGATGGGCTTCCATCATAATTTCGTTCACCCCTTATTCCTTTAGCATTCCTTAGCCCAATAACTCAATTATCCAATAATTGCAGTCCAATCCCCTATATTTAATTAATCTCTTTTAGTCACAAAATTAATTCTCAATTAATTATTGATTAATATTAATTAAACAATATGATTTCCCCTTTAATATATTATTCTCATAATATATTAATAAATCATATTTGAACCTTTCTCTCCTTAAATCATCCTACATATTGCTATGGTGAAGGCAACCCAAAAGGACCATGCTCATAATCGGGTCAAGTACATACCAAAATAGTTATGGACTTAGACACTAATCCAACAGTTACAACTCTCCCCCACTTAGACTGGGCTTCGTCCTCAAAGCCTACTGCGGTGAATAAATCCGGATAATGCTCCCGCATCTCAGCCTTCGACTCCCAGGTCCACTCAGAACCCCTTCGTAATGCCATCGTACCTTCACTAAAGGTACTTACTTGCTCCTGAAAAACTTCACCTTTCTCTCCAAAATAGTTACGAGCCTCTCAATATAGTTTAGTCGCTCATCAACCTGAATGTCATCTAGTGACACAATCGCATCCTTATCTAATACGCACTTCCGCGGCTGCAAAACATGGAAAGTACTATGGATCTGAATGAGTTCCTCCGGAATATCCAATCTATAAGCAACCTTGCCAACCCTGGAAACAACCCATAATGGTCCAATATATCGGGGGCCCAACTCCCCCTCTTCCTGAAGCGAATCACGCATTTCCAAGGTGAGACCTTCAGCAACATCATGTCACTAACCTGAAACTCCAACTCAGATTGGCCTCAGTCGATATAGCTCTTCTTGATATCTGTTATCATTTCCGAAGGCTTCCTCCTTCTGACTTGATTCACTTCACTCCTCTTTGTAGGCCTCTTTCTGACTTGATTCAATTGTTGTGTGACAGATATTTCTCTCTCATCATCCATCCTTTCCACATTCATCATTACTGTGACAATCCGAAATTTTCTATCTTGTAAAGCTAGTTAATTCAATCTAATGACCGACTTGTTTTTGCTATCTTTTAGTCTTGTTAAGGGTCTGTTTGAGTGTTCTAAACCTAGTACATTCAAGGGTTGGGTGTTAGGAACTATCTACTAGGGTTCATTGTGCATCATTTAAGCTGGAAAACTCCAACACTTGGAGTTTACTGTCGTAAACTAGAGATTACGGTCGTAATCTATTGGTTGGCCGTGAACTCCTTCCATATGCATGATTTTCCTTCATTTTCCTTCACTTCTCAGACATCGAAGTCAAGAAAGTCAATTCTCTCTCAAGTATCATCAAGATTATTCATCTTGATCTTCAAAAATGTAAGTGATCCTTCCATTTTTAAGTTGATATCCTTCTTAATCTAGTAAAACTCTATGATTTCATCCATGAAACTATCTCTTTTGGGTAGATCTTCAAATCTTCATCACTTACACCAAGAACACCTACTAGTTCATTGGATCGTGAACACCCCTTCAAGCTTCAAAACGTAAGTATCCTTTCCATATAGTAGTTATCCTTTAGAAGCTCATGACATACACCTTTGAAAACAACCATTTCCCAAGAACAATAGGAGTTTACGGCCATAGCATCTCCTTTGGCCGTAAACCCCTATGAAGAACATTATTGACCGTAAACCCTCCTCATGATCTTCATTGACCGTAAACATCTTTGGCTGTAAACACAAGCATTTTCATGTGTTGGCCATAAACTCCCATGGTGGTAAACTCCCTTGGTCGTAAACATCCTTGGATGGTCGTAACCGCCTTGGAACAATCATATGTGATTGCAACACTTCAATCCAAGTGTTTCCTAGTCCCTAAGGTGGTTCTATATCACAATTAGTTGTTATATACACTAATTATATACATATATGTGTCATTATATGCTTAATAGGATACGTTTGTGCTCGAGGCTTCACTTGACACTTAGCATCCTATATCGATCTTACATTCGAATCACTCGCTACAGGTGAGTTCATACCCCTAACTTATCTTTTAAATGCTTTTATGAGGGGGGATACAAGTAGAAACATTAAAGTTATTGTATCAATCACATGTGATTAATAATTATCAAACAAGTGAATTTCTTATACTTCAAACTGTGATATCAAGCAAACTATTTCAAAACATTTTATCAAACTCCTTTATATGCTAAACTCTTTATCAATATCATTTAAACTTATATTTTGTCAAAATCATGTCTATACATATAAAGTTATATAAATAAGATTGAAAGGACTTAGGACTGATAGCTCGCTCTATTTCCTGTTCCTTGTTTGGTTGTGGACTTAGGGTATCGGTTGTTTGTCTGAGTGTCATTTGGATCTTAGTTATATATTATGTGTATGTGTATAGATATAAAAGTTCTTACATCAGTTTAATACCTTTGGGTAGCAAAGGTGTACAAACATACTCAGTCATTCAAACAACATTACTAGTAAACTATAATATGTATAGTTTAGAAGACTGCTACTCACTATTTCTAGTACAATGAAACATACAAGAGTCAGTTCATACATGAGTCAGTCAAACTTACTATACCGAGAAACAGAAAGAACATACTATAATGAGAAACAGGAAGGAACATACTATACAAAGAGAACATACACTACACTACAACAGATATAACATACTATACAAATATAAGAATATTATAACATTAATGTGAGCCACTACTTCATGGCATCGAAATATACTGTTGTGTCACGTTTTATAACCAGAGTCTCCTGGAGGGAGAGCATAAATTTTTGTATAGATCTATACTGGATTGACCATCCTACACCTTGCTGCTAGCTATAGTGGGAACTACAGGTCTACGGGTGGTGAATGTCATACCATTTCAACGTCTTTGAACGTCGTGTTTTACTAGTCGATCAAGCATGGTTATAATCTCATCACATTTTACCTTAATTAACGATTGGTTTAAGGTAGTTAGTACAACAGTAGTTACTATATACAAAACTAAAGTACATCATTTTTTTCCCATTTGCATTAACATTGTGATCTTCTCACATAAATGGAAATGTAAACTGTATATTGGTAATGATAGTCATACTTGGGAAAAACACTCACTTTTACAAACAAACAACATACAAAACATTCGGGTCTTGGTTGAAGGCTACATTTCAAGTAGAAAATATTGGATTTTCTAGGAGATACAAACATTTACTAAAAACACTTACAAACATTTTCAACAAACATTTACAAACACTTTCATCAAACTTATACAAACACTTGACACTAAAATACTTATGAACTCACCAACTTAAATGTTGACCCTCTCTTTCAAAATAACTTGTATTCCCAGGTCACCAGTAAACAGGTACAGATGGCCAGGCTTTGAGAAGACGGAGCACTTTCCGACTTGTCTTTCATTTTGATATATATATTTTTGGTGTATTACAATTACATTATGAACACACATGTATAAATTATACTATTAATGCAATGGATGATGTTGTTGTTTGTTTTACTATTATGCATTGTTATGATATTGTACATGACGTCCTCCACCCCCGAATGTTTCCACCAATTCGGTTTGGGGGTGTGACAACTACCTCACCCATCCCTGACTCATCTATGCCATCCTCCTCTTTCATCATTTCCTCATCTCCAAGTGCTTCAGTTGTAGGTCGTTCTTCAAATGTTATTTGGCTAGCAATTCCAACATCATGTAACAAACATAACAAAAAGGCCAGTTAGCAAGATTTAACATCATAAAATGAATAATGAGAAAGCATACTTGTGACATAGCAACATCCGCATCTTCAATTTGTTGTACTTCTACTGCACTCAATCCAAGACCTTCAATTTGTTGTAACTTTTGTTCACTCAATCCAAGACCTTCAATTTGTTGTAATTCTGCTTCACTAAGTCCAAGATAGTCCATGATCTGTTCTGTAGTGTATAAAGATTTCCTTAGGTTGTCAATTGTTATGCTTATATGGTTGTGAAAATCTGGACTTGCATCATTTTCACTCTCAACATTTTGAATGGTAACATGTTCAGGCTCACATTTAGGTAACTCATAAGTACCCTCCTCGTATTCTATTTGGACTCCTTTACTAGATCCCCTACCACCACCTCTACTTCTTCCTCCACCAGCCCTTCCATCACCTTTAATTCCTCTTTTAGTTCCTAACCAATTAAGCAAATCAGGTTCCAACCTAGGCCTGCCCATTTTTTTGGTTGAGGTTATGGAACCAATGTTGGATTCTTACATGATGTTTTATTGTGTCCCTTTTGTAGATAATTTTTACACTGGATAGTTCTACCCTTGCTTGACACTTGAGAGTACTTGTCTTGATTTTCTGAAACATGCCTTCTTCTTTTAACACTAGGCCTTCCTGGCATCCTCCTTTCAATGGGTGGAAGGGGCTTATTGTAACTTGTTTCTTCCCATAAGTTACTTCCATTAACTAGGACTATATTCTGATCATAAGTTGCCTTGTAATTATTCTTGTTGAACCAACTACTTATAAAGTTAACTGGATCTTGATTGGTGTACAATGTTGCCACTTGTGCATGCACACAAGGTACCCATGAAAGTTCCCATAATCTACAAGCATAACTTTATTCCTTTAAGTCAACTCCATAGTTTTGAAACATATTCCTTACTTCATATTCATTCAATCCACTTGGAACTGCAAACCAACTTTTACAAACATATAGATATAATATAAGATGCAAACACATAAGATAGAACATGTAAAAACAAAACAATTGAGAATACTTACTTAATGTCTTCTCCAAATTCTTCCAGTTTTCAGCTTCTTGTTTCAGATTGAAACCCCTTTCCATCATGTAAAGCCTAATCTCTTCAAGCATAGTCAGTAAAGGTTTCTTTTTTGAGTCTATAATGATTGCATTGAAACACTCAACAATCCCATTATCTACAGCCTCACAAGCCATGGCAGTAGAGAAATAAGCCCTGCACCATGAAGTTGGTTCCCTTGCCATGAGATGATCATAAGCAACATAACTTATTGCCTTAATCCTTTCCATATTAAACTTGAAATATCCTTCTGTGGTAGATTTTACAGATACCCAAAATATGTTTCTAAACTCCACTCCACTATAAACTTTTCTGAAATCGGCATAGATATGCTTGGCACATTGCATGTGCTCAACATATGGTAGAATATCCTTACTAGCTTCAACAAGACCCTAGAACATGAAAAAAAAAAAAAGCTAATTAGCAACACCATACACTATTGTAAATAATGAAAAATAAAGAGATAGTTACTTTACCTTGTGGTGGACACTGATTCCACACACACCCCTTCCACCATGCAATCCAAGATCATCATTAACCAAATCCAGGAACCATTCCAGTTGTTCTTGTTCTCTATATCAACAACTGCCTAAGCTATAGGATAGATCTGATTATTAACATCCTTGTCTATTGCAGTTAACAGTTCACCCTTACACTGTACCTTCAGAAAAGAACCATCAAATCCTATTACCCTACGACATCCCCTTTCCCACCCCTCTCTTATTGCTTTAAAGCAAATGTAGAATCTATGAAATGTTGTGGTATTATCAGGGTTTACAGTAACTGTAATCCTAACTGTGATGTCTGGATTGGATCTTAGTAGCTCACGCCCATAATCCTAAACTCTTGTATAGTGGTTACTCAATTTCCATTGAATTAATGATAGTGCCCTCATCCTTGATCTATAACACTTTGACCATGAAAATTTGCAATGAAGCTTACTTTGTATAATTACCTGCATCTCCTTGAATTTTAAATTAGGTTTCCTAATCAACTCCTTCACAAATTTCCTAGCTAACCAGGTAGGATCCATAAGCCTTGAATTGTTAAAATTCCTAACACATTTATGAATGTTTATCATCTTTGTGACTTGGAAAGACCTTTCAGTACTCATCCAAGAAGCCCTAACCACAATGGACACTTCTCTGGATCACTTCCACATATTGCCACTAGTCTAACACTATCATATTTTTTGAAATGGATTTAAAAACCCTTACTATCACAGCCGCTGATTTGGGCTAGTCAATTTAGAGACAATAAGAGTCAAAAATAACTTTTTGATATAAGATTATTTAGAATAAATAATCTTAACTAAGTTGTAGTATATGTCACAAGGTTTCCGTACATATAAAAAACGCTGAAATCCGAGTTATAACGAAGAAGTTATGACATGTCGAAGTTTCGCGACAAAACCGGTACGACACCGGGAATCATAAAAAGTGAGTTTATGATAAAGTACTTTTTAGCCTTAGTGACCTATAAGAAATTTGTAGAGTACATCTCCACCGACACGTGGATATAAAGAACGTCGAAAACGGAGTTCGTATGCAAAAGTTATGGCATTCCGAAAATGTAACTGTCTGAGGGGCATGACACGTGGTAGAAACCCTAGCCGCCTTAAGTCACGACGTGGACATGAAGGCCACGACGTGAAATGTGTCTGGAACACTAATCGGGGCTAGAAAACAGATGTTGAAGCTACGGGGTGACTCATGGATGTTCACGATGTGACCCTGGGTATGCCACGATGTGAAATGGCCCAGAACACCCTATAAATAGCAGGTTGAGCCCTTGTTCTCCTTACACCAATGGTTTGTAGCGAGAGAGAGTGAGAAATGGATTATAGTTAATATTTATAGCAAGTCTTATAACCGAACTATATGACTGAATGTATCCCTATAATAGTAAATTAGTTTACTTGATATTAAAATGTAATAAACAGACATAAGCTATTTGAGATAGGTTAGAGCACATAACTTATTAAAAAAAACCTTTTCATTTAAATTAATAAAAAAAATTAATTTTAATTTATTCGATCACTAAAAGGCAAAAAGGTAATAATAAATCAAATATCCTGCTATTTTGTGTTTCTATTCGTTTTGTGTTTTTGTATACCAAAAAAAGAAAAAAAGAAAAAATCTATGTAATTATTTTATATTAATAGTAACAAAAATTAGAAGGAAAATCTCTAAAGTAATATATCCGATACACCCCTTAAATATTTATGCACATCAATATCGTCGTCGACGACTTCTTCACGCGTCACACCTCACAACGCCCGTTTTGGCGGTTTCAGATGTGTCTACGTTGAAGTTCATATAGATATAATCACGTAACGAAGTATCTCTCCAGATATTTATTTTCAGAGAAAGTAATTCAGATATATTTAGATACACACAGAGTGGGTGAGAATTGAGATTGCAGAGCAGGTGATGGGGAACGCATCGTGTATTCTTGTGGGTTGCATAGACCAAGCAAGTATAGGGGTTGTTGAGAAATGGGGTCGATTCGAGAAATTGGCTGAGCCAGGTCTGAATTTCTTCAACCCTTGCGCCGGTCAGTATCTCGCCGGTGTTCTCTCCACCCGGATCAACTCGCTTGAAGTCAAAATCGAGACCAAAACCAAGGTTTTCTTTTCTGTTCCTTATAATTCACATGATCTATGAAATTACCTTCTCACATATCGATTGTTATTTTTTGACCTATGTTGTGAGTTTAAACCCTTGATAATCGTACGATCTGCGATAGATTATCATGTAACTATCATATGAGTTGGTAGGTTGTATATTGTGGTTTAGATCATAAGAAGCTAGAGCTAGGGTTCATTTTCCTGGAGCTGGCAAGCACAGTGAATTATTTCAAATGTTGAACTTGAAGTATCTTTCTCTTTTGCAGGACAACGTGTTTGTTCAAATAATTTCTTCAATTCAATACCGAGTAGTAAAGCAAAACGCTGATGATGCATTCTACGAGTTACAGAACCCTCGTGAACAAATTCAATCCTATGTTTTCGATGGTGATCTTCTTAGTTCTTACACTCATGTCCATTTTGCTTCTATAAAAATACCTCCATAGTTTCTATGTCATAAACCAGTGGTATTCTTTCAGTCGTACGAGCTCAGGTTCCAAGGATTACTTTAGATCAACTCTTTGAACAGAAAGATGAAGTCGCAAAAACCGTATTGCAGGAACTCGAGAAGGTAAATTCATCATATCGTGTGTTAGGTTTTCTATTTTTTTTAAAAGAAAAAGTTTATATGATTTCGTGGGATCATTGTATTAGGTTATGGGAGAATACGGGTACAACATAGAGCACATACTGATGGTGGACATTATACCTGATCCTTCTGTGCGTAGAGCAATGAATGAAATCAATGCAGGTCTTGCTTTTCTACTATGCACTATCATATTCTTTTCTTCTTTTTTTTCCATTAAGTTCTGTATGGGTAAAGTGGTTGGATGTGTAATCATGCTTGTGTTGTGTATACATGAGGTATGTTTCTTCTCTAGACTGAATGAATGAGACTGTATGACCATTCTACCCTTCCATAGTTCCATTCCAAAAAAAAAAAAAAAAAACAAATGTTGCGATAACTTTTTGACGAATTTGTCCTTGGATGCAGCACAAAGGCTTCAGCTTGCAAGTGTGTACAAGGGAGAAGCGGATAAGATTCTTCTAGTGAAAAAAGCAGAAGCAGAAGCTGAAGCCAAGTATTTGGGTGGAGTTGGTGTGGCAAGACAGAGGCAGGCGATAACTGATGGATTAAGAGAGAATATATTGAATTTCTCACATAAAGTGGAAGGGGCGTCTGCAAAAGAGGTGATGGATCTGATTATGATAACTCAGTATTTTGACACCATTAAAGATCTTGGGAACTCATCCAAGAACACCACTGTGTTTATACCACATGGGCCTGGACATGTGAGGGATATTAGTGATCAGATTCGCAATGGTCTAATGGAAGGGAAAGCAGGGTCTAGTGGTGCCCATCATGACTGATTGTACTCTGTACAGTTTCTGACATGTACCGGATCTTCTTTTTCTCCTTCCTTTTTATGAATTTTTCATTACTAAATAAAGAATGATAGATATAAAGTTGCAATTGTCCAAGGAGTTTGTTTGTGTGTCTTTGCTTTGAGGTGGATTTTACTGTGTTTATATGGAAGTTGAAAGTTTTATGTTAAATATTTTGTTAGGTGTTTACTACTCATCCACTATATTGTTTATTATAGATCTTTACTAGTTAAACATGTTTTGGTTAAAACTTAAAAGCATGTGTTCTTTTTTTGCTTGTTAGTTCTTTAATGTTAGGCAAAATTGGATCCGACGCTTTATAAGGAGGCTATTTTATGATAGAACTTGGGAACTTTATATACGGCTTTATGCTTCTTTGCATAGATGGAAAGCACACATTCTTAGGGCATCTCCAACCTAACAATAAAACCTACACTAAATCAACTTTTACATTAAAATTTATATTATAATGCTCCAACTTTAGATTAAAGTTAACACTACATATAATATATTAACCTAACAATAAAACCTACACTAAATCAACTTTTACATTAAAATTTATATTATAATGCTCCAACTTTACACTAAACTTAACACTATATATAGCGTTGGTGAATAGTATCACACCGAATATAGTGTAATATTATTCATCAACATTATATTCAATGTTAAAGTTTTGATAGTATATATTAATCATTGAAGTTTGAACGTAAGAACTTTTAGTTTAATTTTTATATAAATAGTTTATATTTAATATTTTTACGTATATTATTATATTTAATAATTAAAAATACAATATAAGATTTACATAAAACACATAATGATATATTATAATCTTAGTAGTATAAAAAAAATACAAATGATTTCATATGTTATTTTATATAACATATGATAATTGATGATGAACATGATGATTTTGACGTACCAATTGAAGTTGCAAGAGAAATATTACCGACAAATATAGAAATAATGATAGTAAATTCTAATATCTTGTGCCCGGTATAGACACATCAATAATAAAGAAGCTCATTTCGATTTACAAAATGCATTAATTAACCACTTATGAGAATATATATATATATATATATATATATATATATATATATATATATATATATATATATATATATATATATATATAATAGTTTCAAAATACATGTATGATATTTATTTTAATTTGTGCTAAAATGTTAATTTGTTTTATATAATAAACAGGTACGATAAATAATTATATATGAATATATGAATAAGTAATTATGGTTATAGATTTTTAATAAAACAATTTATATAATTATATTAATAAAAAATTATAGACCTAGTTTGTAAAATCTTAATAAATATAAATGATTGTTTTTGTAAAATTATAAAAAGTAGATGGATAAGAACATATTTAGAATATTTTTTTTAGTGTTAATTATAATGTAATAGGTTGAAGAGGTTTAGCATTAGCACTATTGTTGCACTATATTATAAATTATATATACTTACTAATTCTAAAGGTCTATTTGAACAGTTCTTCTAAAGGTCTATTTGAACAGTTCTTGGTTCTGATTGGACCATCATCAATTTCATTTTTTATTATATTTTTTTATCCCACCGCCTCCAAACTTGCTGGCTAGGGTTTAAGAGAATGGGCATAATGTGATGCCCTCTGTTTTCCACCGCTTCCGCTTATATACGTGTCCGCCTTCTGTTATCCAAAGCGATACGTGTCCCATGCTTCCACCGCTCCATGTCTTTCTTCTTTCCGAACCTTCCACCACCGCTCCAGGTAAGTTTCAAGGATGTCCAACCGGTATGCCCTGCTCCTCTCTTTTTAAATCCATCACAGGTTCCTCTTCACCTTTCTTCTTCTTCTTCTTCTTCTTCTTCTTCTTCTTCTTCTTCTTCTTCTTCTTATTTTTTTGGCAGATTTGGTTATTAACTGTGGTTTTTCGTTGGTTTAAGGGGGTATGCCAGGGGTCAAATTAGGGTCCATGAATTGTAGATTTATGAAATTGTGATGATGAGAAGATGTCGACCGGTGATGATTCAGAAGATTTTTCAGCATTGTCTAAAAGATTGATCGGCGGATTAGGCGGCCTGATCGGCGATTAGGCCTTGCAATTGAGTTCGTCCGATTCTCCACCTCCCAGAAACTTCTCTCGCTGAATGTCTGCTTCCGAGGTTTGATTTTGTTGCTTTCTTGCTTATTTTTTGATACACTGATATGCCACCAGCTGAAAGGTTCCAGCTCTGTACATCGTGCTTTTGTTAATTTGACGGAGGAGGAACGCCATAAACAGCAAATCCATTCCATCAGGTATATCGATTACTAACACGTCTTTTGACCACAGGTTGTAAAATGGTTTTTTTTTTTTTTTTATGATCAGGAGAGGGAAGCTTCTTTGAATGGAACTTTATCTGATATTAATCAATGGGTTGATGGATTCACAGGTTTAACTCTTATAAGAACCATAATCCAAATATATGATAAGATTATTGTATTAATTTGTGAAACTTTTGCATTGTTTCTCAGATGATACTCCTACATCTGGACCTGCTTAAGAGGGTCTGGATCAATCTTCAGAGGGTTGGCTAGATAATTGTCTAATAAATGATACAGAGATGCATTTATGTGTTGGTGGTTTGTATGTTTTTTTATAAACCTCATTAATTAATAACCAAAAAGATTTGACTAATTTTAACAAGTTCATAACAGGAATCCATCATAATCAAATAACAGGTAAATTTTCATCGGACTTTCCTCAATTATAAATGATTTTTGCATCCCTTCAGTTGTGATTCCAGTTTAAATGTCTGGTATTTTAACTGTGATGATGTTTGTACTTTATATCTTTTACTGACTCATAAATGAATCTTGATCATATTTATCCATTTTTTTTTAACTTTTCAGGCACATTGCATTTCAACATGCGGCCATAATGTGGAGAATGCGGAGGACGGTGGTATCATATTTGTATGGATTCATGAACCAGTTTATGAAGTCTATTACGAAATTATCCAATTCCCCTTTTTACTTCAATTGCCATTTTAGGCTGTTGATTGATATACCTAAAATTATTTTTTTTTATTTTATCCTATTCAGTTTGATTTAGCTTATTTCATCATGAACTTGTCAAAAGAGGAACACCAATTGAACAAGAAACCATTGATTGATCCGAACTAGGGCTTTCACATTTATCGCATATTGCATTTATTGTTTCTTCAATATCTTGAAATTATGATCAGAAGTTATAATAAATGAATTTTGTTAGTGATTTGTATATTTATCAATTGCTGACAAGTTTACTATGCCGTTTCAGGAAAGAAATGGGAATGACACACCTGAAAGACAACCTATGACTCCACATTCCCTAACAAAAATGGGTTCTAGGTTAGTTAAATTATGCCAGATGAAGTGATTTCTCAAGTTCCATTTTCATCTACTGTTCATTTTAATGAGAGTTTTCTTTTGTTTCTACAGAGAGCGTACAACATGCTGTCAAGGAAATCATAAATTATCCAAATAAAGAATCTTGAAACAGGTCGTACAACATGTTAACTAATATAGTAATATATATATATATATATATATATATATATATATATATATATATATATATATATACACACACACACAATTTAATGATGTTTATTCTGATTTTCTTGCATGATTTTTAGTTTTTATTTTAATTCATAAGTCCAAATGAAATAAATAGTACCATATAACATCCTGTTTTTCCAGTTTATTTCTTAATAAGCCACTGTCCTTGGAAAAATCTACTAATTATAGCATTGTACTGTTTTTTTTCTTATTAGGACATTGTACTTTAATAAATTTACCTAATTTTAGCAATAAATATAAATTTCAATTTGCATGACATTCCTATATTTGAATATATTTTTTCAAAGTACAAAACTGTAACAAGAAAAATTTAAAGTAGGATGCTATAGCAAACAAGTTTATAAAAGTACAAAACTGACTCTAATTTTTATCAAAATTTCAGGTCTTTCCCGTTAGGTCCAGGTGCAAACGCCTCCCATAATTCAATTATGGTGAGTCGTTATCTCTTATATTAGATATGTATTTTTTACAAAATTCAACATTCTAAACTTTGTGTTTCACCACACAGGAAACACCAAAACTCATCGACTTAAAGCACGAATCACTAGACATGGAATCTGAAATGAGTCAATAGTATAACCATGTCTCCAAAGGTATAGATGTCAAAGAGCAAGATTACACCAACAGAAAGTGTCGCCAAAACTTTACATTATATACATTGATGAAAAATGAGGGTCTATTTTTTTTTTATGTGAAATTCAAGTTTGTATTTAGTTGAAAAAGAAATGGTTTTTCCGTTTGTGTTCTTTGTTTATTTCTTTTTCTGTTATTGCTATCTTCATTTTGACCCTGGGCAGGTTTTTCTAGCGGATCCAATCCCTAGTTTTAATATAAAGTTAATGTTATGAGTTGGAGATGTCTTGTTCTACCATTATAGTTGCAGTCCATTAACATCAATCATAGTGCAATAAGTTGAATACATATCTCGAATTGTGCAAGTTTTGACCTAATATTTTCGTCTACATCCGGGACTCCATATTATTGTGATTTTTCCTAGTCCACCTCCAGCATTACATGCACAATCTTGGTTTCTTGACGTGTAAAAAATGGTTATTGTCACATCTGATAGCTCGCTCACTAAATGCCTTCAACTACTACACTTGGGTACATTTTAAGGGGTGATAGCTCAGTTTCCACCTAAACACGCTTTACCATGACTTGCACAATATAAAAATAATTTTATTTATACCACAATGAAAAAAACTTGGCAACACCATCTCTCTTCTCTAGCTGCAAGAAATCTGAGTTTCTAAAACATGCAAATGGGCAGGATGCAACAGATGAAGTATATTGATATTGATATAGATAGTTGAATAAAACAGGTGTGTGTATCATATATATATATATATATATATATATATATATATATATATATATATATATATATATATATATATATATAATCTTAAAGTTGAAGAAGCCAGATTTATAACATGGTAACTGAAAAAAAAAAATAACGATGGCTCATGGTATAGATAACCGACCAACCACACACCATTTCTCCCGCATCATATAACAGAGAGAGGATATCTTCATCCTTATCCTTATCCGTAAGATGCATTTTAACTCACTACTCACTACTCAGTAGTATGTTCTTTGACTAGCACTGTAACCACCACCACCACCATCATGCATTTATCAAACAAAAAAAGTAAACCACCAACCTTCAATCGTTTCACCATTTGTGTATGTGTGTGTGTGTGTGTGAGAGAGAGAGAGAGAGAGAAAGAGACCTGGTAGTAGCTTGTGTGATTTCGCACTTGAGAGGCTGAAAGTGGTGGACCTATAATTTTTAAAAAAAAATTGTTATGATTTGGTGATATGTATTAAACTTTACAATAATAGTGTAAATTGATGGTTAAAAATTCAGAGATAGAAAGAAAGTGGGTAGAGGATTACCTCCAACATAAGTAACAACAGTACCTCTACCATCATGTCCAACACTTCTACACAAGTCACAAAAACATTTTGAAATGTAAATGTAAATCTCAAATTTAAACAAAACACAAATATTATTATTATTATTATTATTATTAATGTTGACCTTGGGATTGGGAGGAAAGAATCATAAGGATCATGTTCACGTTGAAGGATTGAAGATTGTTGTTGATAGGGTCTATGAGTGTAAGGTTGAACCTCAGGTACAACAGCAGTAGTCTCGATGTTATAGCCTCTGTGAGTGCAATAAGACTGAGATTGACTCATAATGGGACGATCTGAATATCTTAAATGAACTTGATTTTGACTTTGACTTCCAAGGTAGACAGTCCGAAGATGATGTGGGTGGTTATGGTTGGGTTGAACATATCCTGAATATGGTCGACTACTGTGTATAGCACCAGAAACAGGTTCAATGTATCCAGCATGTGCTTCCTACAAATACAATCATTGCACCTTTATTTTTATCAAACACCAACCACATCAATATTTAAACAATCCCAAATACCAATGTTCTTCAATTTCTTTCTAGTACACTCATTTTATTCTTATCAAGACATACTACTTTGAAATTTCTACTCATTGGATACATTGCTATAAGCCAAAAACTGGGTGAATTTCTCAAAGTACAATGCTATGATATCAAACGAGCCATTTCTTGTATTTAACTAATTTAACCCTTTAAAAAAGTAATAAATATAAGAAAACCCATAGTAGTATAGTACCATCTCCTTGAGGCGTCTAGTAGACAATGAATCAGGAGGCAGACGAAAAGAATTAGATGCAGCAGCAACAGCATATGAATGATCCATGTATCTAGTGGTGCTTCTGTAATCATCATGCCCATGCCCATGCCCTCTTCTAATACGATTATCATTACTAATATTATCTCTTTCCCTTCCAATTGCATGCACATTGCCTAAAATTTTCAATGTAAATGGAGTCAAAAAAGATACACTGCTGGTATACTCCTAAGTCCTAATCCTATTCCTAACTAGTGTTAACAGTATCAACTGTGGTTCTCTCAGTGTGGCTTCTTAAGTAGAGAATAGAGATAGTGGGTGGGGGCAATAACGTCTTTTAGTCAATTAGGATAGGCCGGTTGAGTGGATCATCATCTTGGATATTCCTTTTTTAGTGTACAACAACTGGCTAGGAATAGCAAAGCAAGAGGACATAAATAGTAATATACCTTTCTGTTTCTTGAAAGGCTTTTTGTTTTGAGGGTTTCTGTTGCCTCCATCATGCTTTGGGGCCTTTCTTTTGTCATTTCCTGGTTTGGAGGCGGATTTACTATTTTGCCCTTCACCAAATTTTGGTTTTTTTGTATCACCATGTCTCAAATTGGGAGGAGCAATCACATTATGGTCAGAGGATGCTTTTCTTTTCTTATTACAACTTTCACCATTTTTGATACTTCCCTTCACCTTATTTTTAATGCTATCATTTTTATTTCTTTTAACTTGCTGAGAATTCAAACCACCTTTTGCTTTTATTGGTTTAGGTCCTGAAATTTCTTTAGATTTTCCACCCTCTTTATTCGATGCTGAGGCTTCAACTTTGAATCCCCCACCAAAACCCTGCTTCTGAGATTGACTCTTAGACTGAGGCTTTGAAATGTTGGCTTTGATCTGAGGTAACAAATAATAAACCCGAGTGATGTTACATACTAGAAATATAATACACACACATAGCGTTCTTGTTTAGTGAATCACAAAAACGGTCCCCGTTGTATGCAAGGGCAAAATGGTCCAAAAATAATATGATCATGTGGTATTTTTACGGTTTTGTTCCTAAAAAAAAGAGAAAAATTGCCATTTAACAAGGTTAACAAAAGGGCTGTTAAAGTTAACAACACATGGACCAAAATTAGATATAAGGACCCAAACCTCAAAAGGTTTCAAATCTGGACTAACCCCTGTAAACAACCGCATACCACAGGGATCGTTTTTGTAATTCACTCTTTTTTATGAGGGGAAGTAAACATCCATACCTTGACTTCTCCTCCAATACCAGCATTGTTGATACCCTCAACACAAGCTAAAGCATTTTCATTTGATGCAAAAGTGATGAACCCAAAATCTTTATGTTTGGTTCGTGGGTTCAGGCATATATCAACTCTAAGAATCTCACCATACTTTTTACAAATCTCCTTCACCTTCTCTTCACTCCAATCTTTAGTGACTCCTTCCAAATATACCTTTTTGGCCTAGAACACAATAAGAAACACATTAATCGAATGAGCATGGAAACAGGGAATTTTAACAAGTTTGATCATACCTGTGGCTGTGACAGATCTTCATCATTTTGATGCATAGGTGTTTGAGCAAAGGCAACCTTAGCACTTATATCACGCCCAAAAACCGCATCTGGCTTTTTGAGTCGTTGAAATGCTGCTACTGCATCTGAATGTGTGGTGAATTCCAAGAAAGCAAAACCTTTATTTTTCCCTTCAAGCTTGGGATTCTCTGGTAAACGGATCATCTCAATATGCTCAATTCCATATTGTTTCAATTGTTGCAACACCTTAAACAGGAAAATGGGACCATTGAGTATCTAATAGCTGGTGCTTTGAAACAATCTTATGCAACAGAGATAGCTTTGATACTTGAACAAATAGAAGTGAATGATTATAAAACATGTAAACTTACTTCCTCCTTTTTCCATGTTTTGCTAATATTTCGCAAATATAGAGTATGATTGTCCTGGCTTTCTGATATCTTTACATGTTTGCCCCTCACCTAGGCATAGAAAAAAATATTAGAATCTGACTTGTTGAGTTCACCTTCTGTCAATTCCCAAAGCCACATAAGCAGAGGTCAATCTCATACCTCAACTCCATCTTTCAACTCCAAAAGAGCACGCTTTGCTTGATCAGGAGATGCAAACCGTATAAATGCAAAACCTTTGCTCTTTTTTGTGGTTGAGTTCCTCACTATTCTTGTTGATTTCAGCTCCCCAAATTGTTGAAAGACATTGACCAGATCTTCTTCAACTGTATTTTTGTCCAATCTTCCAACATAGATTTCAATGTCCTTATCTTTCTTATTATCGGGGACAGGATCCTGAGAAGGATCTTCATCGCCTTCATTGTCTGCATCATCTCCCTCACTATCATCATCACTTTCCCCATCTTCTACAACTAAAGCAGCAGCATTGTTACAAGGTGCTTTGTCAGCATTAGATTCTTGAGCTGAGATGGTTTTCGCAAGTTCTTGTTTTTCTTCTTCATTGTCGCCTTTGACAGTTAGAGGTTTGTTATTGTCATTTAGTATTTTTGAGTTATTAAACAACTGAGCTTATTATGCAAATACGAGGATATATGATCCATGATGTATGAGTTTGACGGTAAAACACCTCATCTTCAAGAGCAATCAAGTAATAAATCAAAATGTATGTTCAATTTTCTTACCTGTAACTGTCTCCAATTGGGAACCATTGATGCCTGATCCTTGTTTGTCTTGATCCACATTCTCGCTTCCACGCTGTAAATCATCTTTCTTCTTGACTGTGGTCTCGTCAGATTCATCATTTTCTACGTAAACGATTCCATCTCCTTCTCCTTGCTTCCCTTTACCAACATCCTCACTTACCAGCGGGAAATCCTCTGTGGCCTTATCTCCGCCCACGTCCGGTTCACCGCCCTCATTTCTCGCTTTATTCACATCACCTACTGCAGAATTCTCTAAAACGATTCCCACCTTAATCAACGATTCGGAAGAAACAGCAAGAGATGTAGTTGAATCACCGTGAATTTTAGCAGAATTGGGATCGGATACTTCTACCTGACCCGACATATCCGTCTTGACTTTCGCAACATCTTCTAATTCAGCTCCCGTTTCAACTTCTGGTGTGGTTGATTTATGATCACCAACAGGGGTAGGTGTGGTAGCTAATGATGATTTTTTGCGCCTTATAGGCGTCTTCCGAGGAGGCATGTCTGATTTGTATATGACCCAACTGCAATTACTTGTTTGACGGGACGAGGGTTAGGGTTCTTGTAGCTGTTAAAGGCGATGAAAGTACCGATCGATCAACAGAGAGAGAGAGAGAGAGAGAGAGAGATGAAGAATCGAAGTACCATCTAACAAACTACGGAGCCGGAAAGTCGGAAACCGCAAGGAACCAAGATGGGCCTAGCACATTATCCAAGTAAGTCATTTTGGTATCAAATTATCAAATATTTTGATTTAAGGTTTTATGTTCCCAAGTCCCAACTATTTTGGGTTATTTTCATGTTCCAAACATTTTGGGCTGTTATTTCCTAGTTGTGTTATTTCCTCTTTGTGCGTAAGGTAAAGGGTTATTTTAATGTTCCAAATATTTTGGGTTGTTATTTCCTCGTTGTATTATTTCCTCTTTTTGCGTAAGGCAAAGGATGGATGTGGTGATGTTTTTATCGATGGTAAAAGTATTTCATATAGACACGTCATACAAGTTTTTACCATTTTTATCATATTTTGCTTATGAATGGGATGTGATAGTTTGTTTTTGCCAATAATAAAACTTTTGTCTATACAAATAAAAAGAAGGGTGCTAAATGAAAATATTATGTTTACTTGTCTATTCCGTATCGGCTACTACATATTACCGACGAACAGTTCATATGTATACTTCCACCGATCAAAATCATTGTTGGCAACAATACCACTCAAGGAGCAGGAATTACCATCGGCAACACATGCCACCTCACGTTATCGGCAGTAAATCATGGGCCACCCCGTTTAGCCTTTTATTATTTAAATCAGTCATGTTTTATTGTATTATCTTTTGACTATTTGTGTTTGTTTTTGTATTTTTCCGGTTTAAATTAAAGTATCTCTAATGGTAAACTATATTAATACTTAAAATTATTATCACATCATCATTCCAAAAACTTTAACCTCTAATTAAGATGGTTAACTTCTTCCTATAGTTTTTTTTTTTATAAAAGTTAACCCATTTATCCATATCTATCTAAAATATTCTATAAAATTCTCTTATTTAATTATTTATTTTTTAAACACACTCATATATTAATTTATTAAAACTATTGTAATACATTATTTCAAAAGAAATATATTACAAGATACCGTTCGAAAAAATAATACAAAAAACTATTACGAAGTATTCATAAAAAGATTGAAAAAATATTTATAATCATTATGATTTTATATTTTACAAATGAAATCTCATCTATATTTAATAGAAATAACTATTTAGTATAAAAATAAAAATATTAAAAACTAAAATATATTTAAATGAGTAACTTGAAATATAACTAAAGTATCAGAGTGATAAATGATAAATGATAAAAGTATAATGATCATTCAATATATATCATATATATTGAATGATCAATAGAAAAAAAAAAACAAATAAATTGAAGACTCCAATGGTAATAAGTAATTATTTAACAAATAAGTAATAATAAATTATTTTTTTTAAAAGTTATCATTGTAAATGCTCCCAAGTTTTTTGTTTGATTTTGATTTTTTTTAATATGGTTTCGTTTTTTCTATTCAAACATAAAGAGCCATGTTAGCTTCAATATTTATACCCTAAAATTTACCAAACAACTTGTTTATATCCTCATAAATTTGCTAAAATTTGTTTATAGTGTCACGTTTAGGGTAGTGTGATTTGCTATGGCAAGAAACATCATTTATTTTCATGGTTTATATAGACAAGGATTTAGATATTCATTTGATAATGAAAAGGGTTCTATTTATGTTTATCTTAATGGTGTTTTATATTTTAAAGCATTGCCTTGTAATGGAATATATGAAACTGTGATGGTTGTAGATAATTTAGGAAATGATGTGTTGTGTATTGATTTTTCCAATAGTTTGGATAAATCATGCTTGTGGCATTATCGTCTTGGATATGTCAACAAGAAACACATAGACCAACTCCAAAAGGATGGAGTGTTGGAGTCATTCGACCTTAGGGATGATGATGTGTGTGGGTCTTGTTTACTTGGAAAGATGACCAAGTCACCCTTCACTGGCACTTGTGAAAGGGGTGAGGGTTTATTGGATCTCATACACACCGATGTGTGTAGGCCCTTTAGATCCACCACAAAGGATGCGAACCGCTTCTATGTGACTTTCATCGATGATTATATCAGATATGAGTATATTTACTTAATCAAGCACAAGTCAGAAACCTTTGAAAAGTTCAAAGAGTTTAAACAAGAAGTGGAGAATCAGTTGGGCAGGAAAATCAAGATGTTTCGATCCGATCGAGGTAGAGAGTACCTAAGTCTTGAATTACACGACTACCTCAAGGAATGTGAAATCGTTTCGCAGTTGATGCCACCTAGGACACCGCAGTTGAATGGTGTAGCTGAGAGGCATAATCGAACCTTGTTAGACATGGTTCGTTCCATGATGAGTTGTGCTTCACTACCTATCCCATTCTGGGGGTATGCCTTAGAGACTGTCGTCCATATCCTTAACTCAATCCCTACCTATAAGGTTACCAAAACACCTCACGAGATGTGGACAGGAAAAGCTTCCTCGTTGGCACATATCAAGGTTTCGGGTTGCAAGGCTTTCGTAAGATGAGAGACTCACGACAAGCTCGAACCTCGTAGCGAGCAATGTATTTTCATCGGCTACCCGCAGAAGTCCTTTGGATATCTCTTCTATAGACCGAGTGAAAATGTTGTATTCATTGCGAGGATAGGGGTTTTCCGAGAAGGAGAACTCATAAACCAAGGGGATAGTGGGAGGCAAATAGATCTTGAAGAGCTTCAAGAGTCGAGCGATGAAGGAACCTCTATCGCTGACACTCAACCCGATGAGGAAACTCCGGTTGAACCGATTGACGAATCATTACCTCTTAGACGTTCCAGTAGAGTTAGTGTTCCACCCGTGTTGTATGGTTTTCATATAACAAGTGAGGGTGATATGTATATTAGTGATAGTACACTAATAAATTTGGACGAACCTAACAGCTACAAGGAAGCCATGGCAGGCCCAGAGTCTGCAAAGTGGAAAGAGGCGATGGACAGCGAGATTCAGTCCATGTATGACAACCAAGTTTGGAATTTGGTTGACAATGTACCAGGTTTTAAGATGGTCAGGTGCAAGTGGATCTTCAAGAAGAAGACCGACATAGATGAGAATGTGCACACTTATAAGGCACGATTGGTTGCGAAGGGCTTTACTCAAACTACTGGAGTTGACTATGATGAGACCTTCTCACTGGTTGCGAATATAAAGTCTATTAGGGTGATGCTGGCCATTGTTGCATTTTATGACTATGAAATATGGCAGATAGATGTCAAAACCGCTTTCCTTAATGGGAAGTTGGCTGAGGATGTTTACATGGCTCAGCCAGAGGGTTTTATCAATGCGAATCATCCCAATAGAGTGTGTAAGCTTGAGAAGTCCATTTATGGACTGAAACAAGTGTCTCACATATGGAATCTTTGTTTCGATGAGAAATTCAAAGAGTTTGGTTTTCTACGAAGTGAGGATGAATCATGTGTATATATCAAATTCAGTGGGAGTATATTTAGCTTCCTCGTATTATATGTCAATGACATACTACTCATAGGAAACAACATCCTGACATTGCAGGAAGTGAAGTCCTGGCTTGGGAAATGCTTCGCTAAGAAGGACCTCAGAGAGGCTACCTATATTTTGGGAATAAGGATAGTGAGAAACAGGAGTAAAAGACTAATAGGACTTAGTCATAATACTTACTTGGACAAGGTACTAATTTTTTTTTAGTATGGAGAGTTCCAAGAAAGGGGAGTTACCAATCCAAAGTAATGCCAAGTTGAGTAAGACTCAAAGTCCGAGTACCGAAGTCGAGATAGCAAAGATGCTTCCGCAGTTGGCTCGATCATGTTGTTGTGACTTGTACTCACCCAGATGTGGCCATCCCTTTGAGCATGGTCAGCATATATCAAGGGAACCCTGGCAAAGCATATTGGACCGCAGTAAAGAATATTCTTAAGTACCTTCGGAGGACTAAGGAATGTTTTCTAGTCCTTGGTGGGAGTGATGACTTAAAGGTGCGAGGGTACAGTGACACAAGTTTTTAGACCGACAGGGACAACTACCGTTCGCGGTCGGGATGGGTCTTTACCCTAAATGGAGGAGCAGTGACTTGGAAAAGTTCCAAGCAAGAGACCATAGCTGATTCAATGTACTAATCAGAGTATATTGCAGCGAGCGAAGTGTAAAAGGAGGCAATATGTCTGAAGAACTTCATTAAAGACCTTGGAGCCTATGAAAATTTTATGTGATAATTAAAGAGCAGTTGCCTTGACCAAGGAACCAAGGGATCATGGTAGATCTCGACATATCGACAAAAAATATCACATTATTCGACATCGGGTAGAAGAAGGACTCATCGTAGCGAAGAGGGTATCACCGGAGGATAACCCAGCAGATCCGCTTACGAAGGGAATGAGTAGGGTTAGGCACTTGTAGCATGCTAGGAGCATTGGGCTGAAGGACGATATTAGTTTAGATTAGATGGTTTAGAAACATGTAATAGATAAATTGTAATTAACATTAGATGATTAAATAAATGAGTATTATTTATTAGCAAAGTTACTGTATTATGTTAATTGTTTAACTATTGTTTCGTTTTGCATGTTTTGACTTCCTGAATAATAAATTTATTCGAACGGTCCACAATCGTTCATATGTTGGAAGTAGGTATGGTGAAGACTGTCATGAATTGGTGTGTAGATTGTCTAAAGTGTATTATACATAACAACAGTTTGCTACAACGTTCATGAATGCTTATGAATAAAATTTAAGCATTGGAATAAAGCCACGCTTGCTGGAATCACTTCATGGAATTTATCACGAGTGATCGCAAGACGATAATATAATATGGTCTTAAAACCTAGATATATGGTTTATTATTTGCTAATTGGTTGTGCATTGATAATGCGTAAACGCATCAGTAACTTGATGTTATAAAACGCATTGTTGTGTATGATTTGATTAATGAATAGTAAATGCATATAAGTCGAAGTTTATCTATTCCTTTTATCCTAAGAGGGTAAAAGCGATATCAGGGCCCCTCGATGATTTCGTTTAACTTCTGTGTCGGGCCCGATCAAGACTGAATTGATGTGTTCAATTAAGTTCTATGTCAAAAGAATCAGAGCTCGAGAAACAAACTGCTGGACAATAAGTATGACTATGTTCCATGTAATTATTTGCACGATATCTAAAACAAAGGATTATACGATCCCTTATCTGAAGGACAGGTTATTGATGAGATTAGTGTTTGACATCGTCTATGAGAGCTACGATTGTTAATCAAATTGTATTTACATTTATAGTTACTAGACTTATCCAAGTGAGAGACTGTTGGATTAGTGTCTAAGCCCGTAACTGTATTTGGTAAGTACTTGACCCGGTTGTGCATGGTCCTTTTGAGTTGCCTTCACCAAAGCAACTTGACAGGGTGATTTATGGATAGAGAGGTTAATATGGTTTATTAATATATTATATGAATAATATATTAAAAGAGAAATCATATAATTAAATTAATATTAAACAAGAATTAATTAAGAAATTAATTATGTGGCTAAAAGACATTAATTTAATATCAGGGACTTAAACTGTCAAATGTATGATAGTTGAGTATTGGACTGAGGAGCCTCTTGGACTAGGCATGGATGAAATTAGGATGTGTCCATCCATAATTTCGGCCATAAGGGCCCTATTCCAGAAGGTTCCTTGCATTGCTTAAGGCCTAAGCTGTACATTAGGGTTTAGACCGAAACCCTAGCAGCACTAGTAAAAATAAGACCCTAAGGCTTCTAATTTTCGGCCACTTGATACCTTAGAGCCATCATAGCCGAAATTAAGCCTTTCCCTCTCCCTCATATCATCCTCTTGCTTGTGTGATGTTTGTAAGCCATTAGAGGAGTGCTATTTGTGACTCTAAGCTCCAAGACAAGAAGATTCAGGCCATTGTTCAAGAGGTAATCATCTAGATCTATTTTCTTATGTGAATTTCGAATCATGTATGTTAGATCTAGGGTTTGTAAGTCTTGGATGAGTTGCATGTACAATAGAAAAACCTAGATCCAAACTTTAGGGTTTGCATGAACACATAGAATGTTATTTTGTTTAAAACCCATTAGCGGTGTAGCTAATATTTTATTTCAAGGTAGGCCAAATAATATACAAAATATGAACGACTGGCAAAATTCTTCAAACGATAACAAAATGTGTGTGTGTGTGTATATATATAATTTATTAAATTGTTTATTTTAAATTGCACACGAAGTTGTTTTACATCATTAACATTAATTTTATGTGCCTTCATAAACAAAAGTGAACGAGAAAAGCCTCATCACAAGTATATATATAAATATATAATAGAAGATGGCGATTGCGGGAGATGAATGGACGCAGGTTTCCAGACGTCAGAGAAAACCACCGGAATCCCCCTCGGTCACTACTATGTTTGTTTCTAATCTACCGATGAATGCTAACAAAGGCGATCTATGGAGATTATTTGGGAACTTTGGAGAGTTGTCGAATGTATACATCGCCCAAAAGAAAGATGCCAACAGGAGAAACTTTGCTTTCATTCGATTTAAGAACGTGAGAAATAGGAGGTTTCTTGAAGTGGCGCTTCAGAACCTATCATTTGCAGGCAGAAATCTGGAGGTGAACGTCGCAAAATTTGAGCGGAAGCTAAAAAAGAGGGTACAAGATTTTCAATATAGAAGAGAAGCGATAAATACCAAGGACACTGCAGATATAAGAAGTAACGCTCGCGACGGTAGAACCTTCGCTGTTGTGGTGGCCGGATGTGAATTGCCTCCTCCCTTACCTCCTCCGGTCGTGAACCCAATTTCCCTCCATCCCAACGATGTTATGGCTGATTGGATTGAAAATGAATTGACATATATGGGGGAAGCGATCAGTATGGAGCATGTTCACAACCTAAATCCTGGTATTTCAATGGGTGATGATGAAGCTTTCTCTATGAAATACGCCGGCGGCCTCAAGGTATGTCTCAGTTTCAGATCAGTTGATGATGTTAATGCATTCTTAAGGGTCAAAGACGACTGGTTTTTGAAGTTATCTAGAGCAAACCAATATCATAATCATTTTGATCGGGTGACATCGGTGAAAATTTATGGTATGCCTTTAAAATATGGGATATGAGGAATTTTGATTACATAGCTGGAAATTTTGGTAGGGTCTTAGTACCATTCGAAGCTTCTCCTAAAGCAAGAGACTTATCACATGGGAGAGTATGTATTCTTACGAAATCCCGTAAAAGAATCGATGATGAGGTAATTATTGAATGTGAAGGGCATCTCCTGAATGTGAGTGTCCTGGAATATGAAGAAGAATGGCTCCCTCAAAATTCATCTGAGTTCGAGATGATTGATGAAGATGAAGACCAGGTTGATTTCAGTGATGATGATGACAATTTCGTAGGTGTTTCTGACACTGTCATGATTGAAGACGAAGTAGATGATATTGAAGAAAGGGAAATTGTCGGGGATGATACAGAAAAGGTGGAGGATTATTTCCGCGGGATCACCAATGGTGACGAAATTGCGACCAGATAGGGGAGATTGGAAGAGACGATCCGATTCCCATGCAGCCGGTTATTAATGATGTGCCTGAAAAAAATAGTTAAGAGCCTGGGGAATCTCAACTGCCTCTTGGTAAATCCCCATTGGTGGTGAACAATGAGAATTCCAAAATAGATAATCTGAATTCGTCAGATAATAATTCATTCGGAGAACTAAAAAATCTGATACCTAATGGTTGTTTTGGGCCATTTAACTCCAAGTGGGTCAGTCCATCAAATGGTGGGCCGGAGGTTGACAAAACTATTGGCCTGGATTTTGGAAAGCTTAATGAAGCAGGACATTTAGATACCTTGGGGCCAGACCTTGATTTCATTGGATCCTACTCTAAACGTCGGAAAATTAAAAACAATGATCTATGCGACAGAAATTTCCCCCCACCCCCAAATTTCGAGTCAGAAGCTCCTCAAATGGATACCCAAATAATTAAGCTAAACAAATCCCCTTCAAATCCAGCTTCAAATAACGTTCATCTTGACCCGACAATAATTTCTATCCCTGAGATTGTGCGCACAACAAGGATTGGGCGTTCGATTGGGTTTGATATCGATGAGGAAAATATGATCCTCATTGAAGCTATGGATGAGACAGGTGCTTGTAATCATACTCGATGAATATAGTTTCTTTAAACATCCGTGGCCTTTGTGAAACTCGTAAGAGGGATTGGGTGCAATCGCTTCGTCGTCTTCATAAAGCCTCTTTTTTTGGTCTACAGGAAACCCATCTAGACGGGTCCCTTAATCGTGAGATGATTAGAGAATGTTGGGGTGATTACAATTTTGAATTCGCATATGAAAATGCATCTGGGAGATCTGGTGGGTTGGTATCTATTTGGGACAGGAATTACTTCACTTCTTCTGAGGTAATTAAATCTCGCTCCTTTTTTATTGTTATTGGTATCTGTTCAGCCTTCTCTTACCCGGTGGCGTTTGTGAATGTCTATGGTCCTCAATCCCCTTCTGATAAGCTCAAGTTACGGGAGGAGTTTCTTATCATCAAAAAATCCCACACAACATGTTGGATAGTCTTTGGTGATTTTAATGTGGTGAGAAGACAGGAGGAGCGTATTAATTCCATGTTTTGTCAATCTAGTGCTAATTATTTCAACAAAATCATTGAATTAGCGGGATTTCATGAGCCAAAAATAGGGGGTTTTCAATTTACTTATTTTCAAAAGTCTGGAGCGAAACTTAGCAAACTAGATCGCTTTCTTGTTTGTTCGGAGTTCTCCAACTTGTTCCATCATGTATCAGTCATGGCTCTTCCAAGAGATAAATCCGATCACTATCCCATTCTACTATCTCAATCCAGAGCAAACTTCGGTCCCCTGACATTCAAGCTATTCAAATCATGGCTGAACAGAAAAGGGTTCGATGAAGTGGTTAGTAAGGCCTGTCGTGAATTCAGCGGTTTCGGTCCCCCCGACTCGAAGCTATTAAATAAATTGAAAGCAATTAAAAAGACGATTTGTGAATGGCGATCTTTGGAGTTTTCTAAGGAATCGACAGAACTTATAAAACTCAAGGAGGCACGTAATGATATTGATAAAAGGTTTGAATGTGGCTATTTTAATGATGTCGATCTTGATGAAAGAACCAGAATTTCAGGAAGAATAGAGGAGCTTGAAAGGCTCGCAATCATTGATTTGAAGCAAAAAGCCCGGATTAAATAGACGACTGACGGGGATGAAAATTCTCGTTTTTTCCATGGCTATGTATCCAACCGATCGAGGAGGAATCACATGCATGGCATTCTAATTAATGGTGAATGGGCGAGTGATCCGGTGGCCATGAAAGCAGAGGCGGCACAATTTTTTGCTGAAAAATTCAGCGAAAGATGGGCAGATAGACCAAAATTTCACAGTAGTAAATTCAAAATGATCTCTGATGCCAGCCGTGGATTTTTGGAGGAGAATTTCTCTTGTGAATAGATTAAAAATGCTATTTGGAGTTGTGGTAGCGAGAAAGCCCCAGGGCCTGATGGCTTCACATTTAAATTCTTCAAACGATTTTGGTCGATTCTAAAGGATGATATTGTTGGTTGTGTTAGATATTTTGAGGCGTTTGGATCTTTATCAAGGGGTTGCAATTCCTCCTTCATCACACTAGTTTCCAAAACAAAGGACCCTCTTATTCTTAATGACTATAGACCCATTAGCCTTATTGGGTCTATTTATAAGATCATCTCGAAGTTACTTGCCTCCAGATTAAAATCAGTGATCAGTGAATGCATTGATGAGGTCCAAGCAACGTTTGTGGCTAATAGATACATCTTGGAGGGCCCGCTCATAGTCAATAAAATTTGCTCCTGGGGGAAGGAGAAAAAGAAAAAAAATTCTCATCTTCAAAGCAGACTTTAATAAGGCCTTTGACTCATTAAATTGGGGTTACTTGGATTCTATGATGTCGCAAATGAATTTGGAAGGAAATGGAGAATGTGGATAAGAGGGTGTTTGGCATCAGCAAGGGCGTCGGTGATCATAAATGGTAGTCCGACAAGTGAATTCCCACTTTAAAAAGGTGTTCGTCAAGGAGACCCGCTCTCGCCATTCCTCTTCATCGTGGCAATGGAGGGTTTAAATATTGCTATGAAAGAAGCTGTGGAAAAGGGCATTTTCAAGGGTATTTCTATTCCAAACGTTGGGCCTCCGTTGTCACATTTATTATATGCGGATGATGCGATTTTCTTGGGTGAATGGTCAAAGCATAATATCGATAACCTTGGTCGTATCCTTAGATGTTTTTACGTTTCATCAGGGCTTCAAGTGAATTTTAAAAAATCAAAAGTTGTTGGCATTGGTGTGATCGATCGAGAGGTTGAAAGATGGGCTACCCCGCTAGGGTGTGAACCGGCTTCCCTCCCCTTTTCGTATCTTGGGGTTCCGGTTGGGGTTAATATGAACTTAATAAAAAATTGGAAGCCAATTGTGGAAAAATTCAAATCAAAATTATCGATATGGAAAACAAAAAATTTAAGTTTTGGTGGTAGAATAACGCTTGCTAAAGCCGTCTTGGGTAATCTTCCCAATTATTATTTATCGATCTTCGCTGCCCCCAAAAGGTATACTAGAAATCTTGGAAAGGATTCGGAGGAACTTTATTTGGGGAGGAGAAGCTGAGTCCCAAAAGATCAATTGGGTGGCATGGGAGAGATTAATCGCACCACGTGAAGTTGGGGGTCTCGGTATTGGTTCCATAAAAGCTCTTAACATTTCTTTATTATCTAAATGGTGGTGGAAGCTCAAAACGTCTCCTAATTCATTATGGTATAGTGTTATAAACGGTATTCAATACGGGGGGAGTCCGAATGAAAATATTGCTGCTTCAAAATATATCCCTGAAGTTTGGAATAATATTGTTAGATGCAAAAATGAACTTAGAAAAGTAAACATTCTAGTTCATGACGTTATTAGAAGAACACCAACCGGCGCGATACCTGGGAATCTGATTTTTGTAAGGAGAATTACTGTGTAGCTATGATGAAAACGAGAATAGACAGATCCCCACACCTAATATGTGACGGTGAATTTCCATGGTTTAAGTGGGTGCCAATGAAAGTTCTATGTTTCGCTTGGCGAGCTAGATTGGGTCGAATCCCAACTTTGTTGGCCCTTAGCCGCAGGAATGTTAAGGTAGACTCCCAATGGTGTAGTGCATGTATCTCGAGGTTAGAAACTTCCGACCATCTCCTAGTGGACTGCCCGTTTGCGGATCATGTAGGGAGGAGTTTGGAGAAGTGGTGCGGCATCGGGAAGATAAACGCCAACTCGGTTCGAGGAATTATTGATGAGGGTGTTAGACTGAAGATGGGTTCCAATCGCAAGAAGAAAGCACTGTTCTCGATCCTCTATGGTGCTCTGTGGGCTATTTGGCGTGTCAGGAATGATAGAATCTTTAATGGCGATATTGTTAATCCGATTAAGGTTGTCGATTCGATTAAGTCTATGACATTTATGTGGGTAAAACATAGATATGGTAGGTGTAGTATTAATTGGGGTGATTGGATTAGATCCCCGTTAAACTGTTTGTTATTGAACTCTGTCTTTTGTTTTCTTTTTCCTTCCCTAGCATCTGGGTTGGTGTTTTATATAATATATATTTGCCGGTTTAAAAAAAAAAACATTAATTTTATGTGGGTAGACCAAGACCCACTCATGCTCTATATTGGTTACACCCATGAGTCAAATATGTGAAAACTCCAAGTTCAGTTTTTTTTCATGAATATTTTTAATTGACTAATATTGTTTTGCATAAATATGAGAGATAATATGTTAAAAAGTGGAGGAGGACAATAGGTTTGCGGTAGGTGATATAGATGGCGACATGGGTTGTTTGATCTTTTGGATGAAAGAATTGTTGTAAAAGGCTAATGAACTTTTGTAACCATATTTTAGTTTTTGATCATAAGAATAAATGGTTTTGAATAAACGTGAAACATAAATAGAAACCAAGTAATATACATGACTTGTTTTATCCAAATTATATATTTTGTATAAATATAAAGGTCTTTTAGAGAGAAATAATAATAATAATAATCAGACAACAACAATAATGGTAAATTAAAGAAAAGTTGTTAGACGTGGGCAGTCTAGATGGATTTTATTTAATGACTTCCAGCATAAGATAAAAGAAATACGCAAGTCCACACCCGATTATTTCCTACATATGAAACATAAATACACGATAAAGAATAAACGCTATTGTTTGACAAAGAAACATATAGATCAATAAAGTTGATACTAAAAAGAAGGGTAAAATATATATAGATCAATGAAGTTGACGTAAAAAGAAGAAAGGTAAACAAATATAGTGCATCTAGATACTAGCAATAAAATATAAAGTATCCAACTACACTTCGACAGCATAAACCAAATGTAACTACGGGTACACGTTTATGTTCTCGGTAAGATTCAAACTCCGTAAACCCTACTCTCACACCCTTTACACGCTTCATTCTTTGGTGGGCCGTCTCCGACTTTCTAACTGCAACATTCGGTTGTCTTATATCAACATGTCAGAAAACCACCACAATCATTTTTCTTTAATTTTTCAGTGATCAACAAAAATTTCAACAAAAACATGATTAACATGTTTGTTATCTTGTCTAATGGTTGCGTAGATCTTCACACAAAAAAGAAGCAACTCATTCTGTCAACTTTTAGCATTATGTTATTTTTTTTCATCATCCTCTCCTCCTCTAGGAAATATCACCTTACCTTCAATTCACCTTTTTAAACAAAATATTTAAAAACAAAATTGAAAAAAAAAACACAAAATTTTCATTAATATAAAATTTTAAACTAAAATTCTAAAGTAACATAAATTTAAAAAAAAAAAAAAAAAAAAAAACTTAACAATAGTTAAAACATAATTAAAACAAGCCCTTAATTTAAAAGTTTAAACTAAAATTCTAAAGTAATATAGATTAAAAAAAAATTAAAACTTAACAATCATTAAAATATAATTAAAACAAGCCCAATGGTTGTTTATTTATATCATTTTCGTATCCACCTCGATCTTCAAAACCGAATCAAGTTTTCACCCGTAAGATGATCGATGTTTTGTAGGCGTGTTTAAATGAATCACATTTGTTATCATTTGTCGATTAGAAAAAA